ATGACCTCCAAGATCCTTTCCATCATCATCATCATCATTATTGTTATTATTATTATTATGAAGCAAGGCAGCACCACAGTCTAGCCCAGGGGTAGGCAACCTTGCCTCTTTGCTGACTCGTGGACTTCAACTCCTAGAATTCCTGAGTCAGCCACGCTGAGGGGAAAGGGAGAGGTTTCCAAGCTGAGCCATGCTGGCTCAGGAATTCTGGGTGTTGAAGTCCACGAGTCATGAAGGGGCCACAGTTCCCCCATGCTGGCTCAGGAATTCTGGGAGTTGAAGTCCACGAGTCATAAAAGAGCCGAGGTTGCCTACCCCTGCCCTAGCCCAACCCACCCAATTGCCCCCCCTCCCCACCATCACTCGCCCACCCTAATCCCCATCCTTCACCTGAGGCTGAGTTTCTGCAGAGCCCCCAGGACGTTCTCCCGGGTAAGGGAGTACTTATCTTCCGCTTTTAACCTTCCTTCCAGCATCCGGAGAAGCCGGGGATTCTGGGAAAGGTAGAGCCGGCCTGGGACGAATGGAAGGAGAACAAGACCAAGGGAGGGAGGGAGGGAGAGAGAGAGAGAGAGAGACAGGCTCAATTGTGGTCGTAAGTGGAGGACTACCTGTATTGGCCGTTTTTCCCTCCCTTGGGCCCGGAGTCCTTTTCCATAGCACTTAGCAGATGCAGGGAGTCCTTGACTTACAACCATGTGTTTAGTGACCGTTCAAAATTGTAAGTGTGAAAAACAGCCGTAAGTCACTTTTTTTCTGGGCCGCTGTAACTTCGAATGCTTACTAAGTGGATGGTTGTAAGTTGAGGACTACCTGTACTACTGAGTAGCAAGGATGAATGAGCTGATCTGAGGCCTGACAGAGGTTTCTGTGAGCTTCAGGAGGCCTTTCTCAGGTGAAGACCCCAGTATCGATTTGGTAATAATGGGTCGATTCTATTCTGTTCTGTTCTGTTGTGTTCTGTGTTCTATTCTGTTCTATTTCAAGTTCTCTTGTGCGTTTTCTCTTCTCTTCTTTTCTCTTCTCTTCAATTCTATTCCGCCTTCTCTTCTTCTTTATTCTATTCTGTTCTCTTCGCTTTTCTCTTCTCTTCTCTTCTTATTCTATTCTTATTTCTTATTCTATTCTACTCTATTCTTCTATTCTATTCTATTCTTCTATTCTATTCCATTCCATTCAATATTTTCTATTCTATTCTATTCTATTCTATTCTATTCTATTCTATTCTATTCTATTCTATTCTATTCTATTCCATTCCATTTTCTATTCTATTCTATTCCATTCCATTTTCTATTCTATTCTATTCTTCTATTCTATTCTATTCTATTCTATTCTATTCTATTCTATTCTATTCTATTCTATTCTATATATTTTCTATTCTATTCCTTTCCATTCCATATTTTCTTTTCTATATTCTATTCTATTCTATTCTATTCTATTCTATTCTATTCCATTCCATTCCATATTTTCTATTCTATTCCACTCCATTCCATATTTTCTATTCTATTCTATTCTATTCTATTCTATTCTATTCTATTCTATTCTATTCTATTCTATTCTATTCTATGCTATGCTATTCCAGTCCATTCCATTCCATTCCACTCCACTCCACTCATTTCTATTTCTATTCTATTCTACATTCTGTTCTATTTTGCGTTCCATTCCATTCTATAGCAGTAGCTGCCTTCATGCTCCACCTCTTACCTTCAGCCAAGGAGGCAAATGTATTGATGAGCCTGGCGGTGTATTGGCGAACGACCTCACACTTGGACTGGATCAGCATTAGGAAGCTTCTCTGCAAGAGACACACACACCCCCCAAATTGAAACGGTCGCAGTTAATTCTGGAGTAGTCTGACAGAAAATAAAAGCTACAGCCTAATTTTGGTGGTGCCTAATTTTACAGCATTTTTGGGGGCCACGTTATTCAGTGAATCATTGCAGTTCCTTGAGCAGAGGGTTGGACTAGAAGACCTCTAAGGTCCCTTCCAATTCTGTTATTCTGTACTCTCCGTAAAGGGACTTGTGTACAGGTAGTCCTCGGCTTACGATCACAATTGAGCATCAAAGTTTCCGTTGTTAAGAGTGTTTTGCCCCATTTGACAAACTTTTTTGCCCCTAGTTGTTCAGTGAATCAACTGCAGTCGTTAAGTTAGAAATGTGGTTGTTAAGCAAATCGAGTTTCCCTATTGATTTGGCTTGTCAGGAGGTCACAAAAGGTTATCGCGCGACCCTGGGACAGTGCAACCGTCATAAATAAGAGTCAGTTGCCAAGTTTTTCTGAATGTTGATCGTGTGGCCACGGGGATGCTGCAACCATCTAAGTGTGAAAAAGACGATCCTGAGCCCCTTTTTCCGGTGCGGTTGTGACTTCAAACGGTCACTAAAGGAACTGTCGTAAGGGTCAAGGATGAAACGTTGGCAGCTGCGTGCCTCTGCATTTCAACTTGCCTTTAGAGTAAGGGGGGGAGGTGTTACTTTGGAGTGAGTTAGGTGGAGAAACGAAACTTCTACGATTTGCCTGAAGACTGTGAAAGCCTGAAACCCTTTCAAGGACTCTAGAACAGGTGTGGATTTGAAGCGGACGGTTCCCGTAACAAAGTGAACTTGTTTCTATGGACTAAGTAAGACGTTGGGGGTTTGGTGGGGGAACATTATTATTGTTTAAATCGATGAAGTGGTGTCTGGGAACCTCAGAGTTAGTTTTGCTTCGACAATAGAAACGACTGCAGAGAAAAGCAACCAAGATGATCAGGGGACTGGAGACTAAAACATATAAGAAACGGTTGCTGGAATTGGGTATGTCCAGTGTAATGAAGAGAAGGACGAGGGGGGACAGGATAGCAGTGTTCCAATATCTCAGGGGCTGCCCCAAAGAAGAGGGAGTCAAGCTATTCTCCAAAGCCCTTGAAGGCAGGACAAGAAGCAACGGATGGAAACTAACCAAAGAAGGAAGCAACCTGTCAGAAATTTCCTGACAGTGAGAACAATTAACCAGTGGAACAACCTGCCTCCAGAAGTGGTGAATGCTCCAACACTGGAAGTTTTAAAGAAGAGACTGGACAGCCATTTGTCTGAAATGGTATAGGGCAGGGGTAAACAACCTTGGCTCTTTTATGACTCGTGGACTTCAGCTCCCAGAATTCCTAAGCCAACCATGCTGAGGTGGAAGGGAGAGGTTTCCAAGGGGAGCTATGCTGGCTCAGGAATTCTGGGAGTTGAAGTCCACGAGTCATAAAAGAGCCAAGGTTGCCTACTCCTGGTTTAGGGTTTCCTGCCTGAGCAGGGGAATGGACTAGATGACCTCCAAGGTCCCTTCCAACTTTTGTTATTATTATCATTATTAATAATAATAATAATACCATGCAGTGTATTCAATAAACAATAAGATTTTCGGAGACAGAATGAACCTGGACGTTTATCTGGATTCTCGAGCTGGGTGTGGACACCAAGTCAAAGACTTCCTGTATTCTACTTTGCGAGAAAAAGAAGGGAATTTGTGGGATGGGATTAAAAAAAAAGTCAAGAGTTGCAAATCCATCCCCTTAGAGATGTTTTCAGTCTTTGATCTACATCGCGACCGCCCCTCGCTAACCTGGCCGTTACTGTAGCAATCCAAAAGATCGTTGTTGATATAAGCCTGCAGAACCGTGTCCCGCTGTTCGCCCGGATGGGAAGTTGTCAAACGCTGCAAAAGAAACAAGAGACCGACCAGTGATCCTCTACGTAGGACCAAAACTGAGCCCCACATTTGTTAAGTGAGTTTTGCCCCATTTCTTATGACCTTTCTTGCCACAACTGTTAAGTCAATCACCGCAGCGGTTAAGTTAGTAACCCAGTTGTTAGGTCAATGTGGCGTAGACTATTCTCGGTGTGTTTTTATTGTCAGGTCAGCATGATTCAGTTTTTCTGAAGGTAGCTACGTTTTGTTATTTGTTGTTGTTGTTGTTGTTAGTTGCGAAGTCGTGTCCGACCCATCGCGACCCCATGGACAACGTTCCTCCAGGCCTTCCTGTCCTCTACCATCTTCTGGAGTCCACTGAAGCTCACGCCTCCTGCTTCAGTGACTCCATCCAGCCATCTCATTCTCTGTCGTCCCCTTCTTCTCTTGCCCTCCATCTTTCCTAGCATCAGGCTCTTCTCCAGGGAGTCCTTCCTTCTCATTAGGTGGCCAAAGTACTTGAGTTTGCACTTCAGGATCTGGCCTTCTAAAGAGCAGTCGGGGTTGATCTCCTCCAGGACCGACCAGTTTGATTGTAAAACTAGGCAGACCTTGATCACCCATTGATTACATCAGTAATTGTAATATATTGCTAGGTCTTCTTGTGTTTGGTTCTGTTCAGTTTTGTTTTATTGGAATGTTTAATGTATGCGTTGGCTTTTGGCTGCAATAATAAATGGATGGATTGAGGCAATGTGGCTTTCCCCCATGGACTTTGCTTGTAGGGATGTCGGAAAAGCTTGGCGGGCTGGGAAATTCCAGGAGTTGAAGTCCACAAGCTATTGCCAAGGCTGCTCCCCCCCCCCCGATTTGTAGCGGGACTTACCCAGCGCAAGGCCTGTAGCAGGAAAGCCTTGAGGCGGTCACTTCCGTCGATCAGATCTTTCTTTAACTTCTCATAATCCAAAGATGGCAGGAGGGGGACCTCCTGCACTTCCCTGCACAAGAAAAAAGGGCCCCGTGAGAAATGCAACCGACTCTCTTCAGTCTTGGAAAGTCGGGCGGTTTTTATAAAGGAAGATAAGAGAACCTTTAGTATTGTCATTTTTTTACTATGAGCATACTGGCCTACATTAAAAATCAAATTCTGTTGCCTGCTGTGGAAGGAAAGTATATATCTACCCACACATATATATAACACACATATACACATGGTATATACATACATACATAGATACATACATACATAAATACACATACACCCATATATATATATATGTAAATCCAGGGGTCTTCAAACTTGGCCCTTTCATGACTTGTGGACTTCAACTCCCAGAATTCCTGAGCCAGCCACGCTGAGGGGAAAGGGAGAGGTTTCCAAGCTGAGCCATGCTGGCTCAGGAATTCTGGGAGTTGAAGTCCATGAGTCATGAGGGGGCCATAGTTCCCCCATGCTGGCTCAGGAATTCTGGGAGTTGAAGTCCACGAGTCACGAAGGGGCCATCGTTTCCCCATGCTGGCTCAGGAATTCTGGGAGTTGAAGTCCACGAGTCACGAAGGGGCCATAGTTCCCCCATGCTGGCTCAGGAATTCTGGGAGTTGAAGTCCACCAGTCATAAAAGAGCCAAGGTTGCCTACCCCTGGTCTAGGCCTAGGCCGCTTCATGACTTGTGGACTTCAACTCCCAGAATTCCTGATCCAGCATGGGGGAACTATGGCCCCTTCATGACTTGCGGACTTCAACTCCCAGAATTCCTCAGCCAGCATAGGGAAACTATAGCCCCTTCATGACTCGAGGACTTCCAGAATTCTTGAGCTAACATGGGGGAACTATGGCCCCTTCATGACTTGTGGACTTCAACTCCCAGAATTCCTCAGCCAGCATAGGGAAACTATAGCCCCTTCATGACTCGAGGACTCCCAGAATTCCTCAGCCAGCGTGGGGGAACTATGGCCCCTTCATGACTCGTGGACTTCAACTCCCAGAATTCCTGAGCCAGCATGGCTCAGCTTGGAAACTTCTCCCTTTCCCCTCAGCATGGCTGGTTCAGGAATTCTGGGAGTTGAAGTCCACGAGTCATGAAGGGGCTATAGTTCCCCCATGCTTGCTCAGGAATTCTGGGAGTTGAAGTCCACGAGCCATAAAAGAGCCAAGCTTGCCTACCCCTGAACTAGGGGTAATCTTTGATTTATGCCTAGAATTGAACCCAACATTTCCACTGCTAAGCAAGGCAGTTGTTGGTTGGTTTGTGCCTCATTTTACCACCTTATTTGCCACGTCTGTTAACTGAATCACTGCAACGGTTCAGGGAACTGTGCGGTTGTTAAGCGCTTCTGCCTTCCCCCCATTGACTTTGCTCACTGGAAATCGGCTAGGATGGTTGCAAACGGTGAGCATGTGATGGTGCAGCTGCCATAATGATGTGTCAGTTGCCAAGGGTCTCAATCACATGACATGGACATGCTGTGATGGTCATGAGGTCCAGATCTTAAGTCACTTTTGTCAGCACTGTCGTAACTTTGAACAGTCACTTAACAAGTAGTCGTAAGTCAAGGGCTACCTGTTCAAGTTTGGGCCTATGGAGCTTATCTCTTCACAAACCACCCACATTTTATGACCGGACAAATAAGAACAAAGAGGCAATCAGAGAACTTACGCCGGGACCAACGATGCTCTTAACATGGTCGAAGCCTGTGTGATTTGAAGGAGAGAGAGAGAAAAAAATCAGAATATATGTAAGCAAAGCCCACTTTACCTAGATCAGGGGTAGGCCACCTTGGCTCTTTTATGACCGGTGGACTTCAACTCCCAGAATTCCTGAGCCAGCATGGCTCAGCTTGGAAATCGCTCCCTTTCCCCTCAATGCGGCTGGCTCAGGAATTATGGGAGTCGAAGTCCACGAGTCATAAAAGAGCCAAGGTGGCCTACCCCTGATCTAGATTATACCAATGTCTGTTCCCCAGAACGATTAAGTCGTTTGTTATAATGAGCATTCCTTATTATGGAACAGGACTTTCTAATAAATACTCCAAATACCTGGGCTTCAATGGGAAGACTTTTTTGGCTGGGGAATTGAAAGGAATTGGTGTAATAGGGCATAAAATAACAGGGTTGGAAGGGACCTTGGGAGGTCACCTAGTCCAACTCTCTGCTCAAGAAGGATTCTATTCTAATTTCTATTCTATTCTAGTCTATATTCTATTCTATTCTATTCTAATTTCTATTCTATTCTAGTCTATATTCTATTCTATTCTATTCTATTCTATATTCTATTCTATTCTAATTTCTATTCTATTCTATTCTAATTTCTATTCTATTCTAGTCTATATTCTATTCTATTCTATTCTATTCTAATTTCTATTCTATTCTATTCTAATTTCTATTCTATTCTATTCTATTCTATTCTATTCTATTCTATTCTATTCTATATTCTATTCTAATTTCTATTCTATTCTATTCTATATTCTATTCTAATTTCTATTCTATTCTATTCTATTCTATTGTAATTTCTATTGTAATTTCTATTCTATTCTAATTTCTATTCTATTCTATTCTATTCCAATTTCTATTCTATTCCAATTTCTATTCTATTCTATTCTATTCTATTCTATTCTATTCTATTCTATTCTATTCTATTCTATTCTATTCTATTCTATTCTAATTTCTATCCCCTCTTCTTTGGGGCAACCCCTGAGATATTGGAAGACTGCTATCATGTCGCCCCTGGTCCTTCTTTTCATTAAATTGGACGGATCTGGATATATCTTCCCACCCTTCCTTCTGAACACTAGACAGAATATTCCTGCAAAGGCTTTTTCAAAAAGCCTGCTGGGGGCCATTGATTCCCAGTCTTCCTGACCCCCAACTGTCTCCTCTCTCCCTTTCATGGCACGTTCTATAATGGGTGCCCATTATAAGCCGCCCGGCTGGAAAAGGCCGCGAGGACAAAAGCAAAAAAAATGTCGAAAGACAGATCGCATTACTCCTCTTCCGCGTACCATCCAAACGCTCGGGCCGACCACAAAGCTAGGCTATGTAACACAAGAGCCTCGTTCTCACAAAACGAAAAAAGTGCAGGCTGGCACCCGAAAGCGACTTCGTAGGAGGCGTCCATCCGGACGGGATGATACCTAATAGGCAATTAAAAGCCCCTTCCCCCACCCAGGGCACAATGCGCGCCATTCACGGCAGGAACAGGTGGCAGATAGATTGCGTCCTATCGCACTCCGTTGATCTGTCACTCACTTTGATTTATGTCCCTGGATATTTTGCAATAACGACACTCCCCCCCCACCCCGTGTTTCTTAGGAGGCACCTGCAACTCTGTGCATTACAGAGACATTGGCTCACAGGACTTTAAAAGGGGTGTGTGCACCAGTTCATAAAATCAAGCCATCAAGGGGTGGGTTTTTAACTTGCTTTGTGGTTAATGAAACACCATGTTTCTCCGAAAGTAAGACCGGGTCTTATATTAATTTTTGCTCCCAAAGACACATTAGGGCTTATTTTCCGGTTAGGGCTTATATTTGGAGAAATACGGTACTAAATAATAATAATAATAATGGCTTTGGAAGAATATCTGAAGAACAATGATGAAGATGCACTGAAATTAGTATATCAGGAAGGCTTACTGACTACTGGAGAGAACAAACTGGCCTACAAGAAAGACCAAATGAAGAACAGAATAGAGGCATGGGAAGACAAAGCACTACATGGCCAATACATTAAAAAAATAGTTGGGAAAGTAGATAATAACAAGACCTGGCAATGGCTGAAAGCAGGAAAATTGAAGAAAGAGACTGAGGGACTAATTCTGGTTGCACAAGACCAAGCCTTAAGGACAAATGCATATAAAGTCAAAATTGAGAAGACAGCAACAGACAGTAAGTGCCGCCTATGCAAAGAAGCTGAAGAAACAGTGGACCACCTGGTAAGCTGCTGCAAGAAGATTGTACAGACTGACTACAAGCAGCGGCATGACAAAGTAGCAACAATGGTGCATTGGAAGATCTGCAAAAAATATCATTCGCCTGTAAGCAAAAACTGGTGGGATCATAAAATAGAGAAAGTCATAGAAAATGATAAAATTAAACTGCTCTGGGACTTCAGAATTCAAACAGACAAGCACCTGCAACATAACACCCCAGACTTAACACTTGTCGATAAGCAAGACAAAAAAGTCTGGATAGTGGACGTGGCAGTGCCTGGAGATAGCAGAATAGAAGAGAAAGAACTGGAGAAAATAACAAAATACAAAGACTTACAAATAGAAATAGAAAGACTGTGGCAAAAGCAAGCAAGGGTAGTACCAATAGTCATAGGCTCCTTGGGTGCAATCCCAAAACAACTGGAGCACCACTTGAACACCATTGGCATTGACAAATTCGCTATTAGTCAATTGCAAAAGGCGGCCTTATTAGGAACTGCTTCCATCCTGCGACGATACCTGTAATACCATCAAACATCCACATCTGCCTATCCCAGGTCCTGGTAAGGACTCGATAGGTAGACAAAATGCCAAATCCAGTCTGAACATCTGGCTGACTGTGCGATGATCGATAATAATAATAATAATAATAATAATAATAATAAAGTTGGAAGGGACTTTGGCAGTGGTGGGATTCGGCCAGTTTGCACCTGTTCGGCAGAACCAATAGCTCATTTTTGTTGCCCAGACCCAGAATGGACTTCTGGAAGCGGCATCCACACAGAGAACTGGTTGTCCACATATTTGAATCCCACCACTGGACCTTGGAGGTCATCTAGTCCAACCCCCTGCTCAGGCAGGAAGCCCTACCTACACCATTTCAGACAAATGGCTGTCCAGTCTCTTCTTAAAAACTTCCAGTGTTGGAGCATTCACCGCTTCTGGAGGCAGGTGGTTCCACTGGTTAATTGTTCTCACTGTCAGGAAGTTTCTCCATAGTTCTAGGTTGCTTCTCTCCTTGATTAGTTTCCATCCGTTGTTCCTTGTCCTGCCTTCAGGTGCTTTGGAGAATAGCTTGACTGCCTCCTCTTTGAGGCAGCCCCTGAGATATTGGAACACTGCTATCATGTCCCCCCTCGTCCTTCTCTTCAGTGAATCCCTTGCAGTTGTTAAGTTGGTAACACGGCTGTTAAGTGAACCTGCCTTCCCCCCCCCCTCCGTTGATTTTGCTTGTTGGAAAATCGCAAAAGGCAATCATGTGACTCCATAACGCTATGACCGTCGTAAATGTGAGTCAGTTACCGAGCGTCTGAATTAGGATCCCTTGATCCTGGGTGGGCTGCCAAGGTAGTATGAAAAATGGTCCTAAGTCACCTTTTTTTATAGTGCCAACATAACTTCAAACGGACACTAAACAAATGGTTGTTTAAGTCAAGGCCTGCCTGCAGTTTTTGGGATTAAACAGGTGATGTCAACGCTGCTAACATCAGATGTTTTTGCTTTGACAACAGTTGGAGATCCAACCATTTTCTTCTTATGCTTTACTCTTAGAGGTAGAGTTAGATGACGCTGGGGGGAGGAATATGCATGAGAGTTTAGTTAGACATAACAATACTGGACCTAGTATGAGAACCAAGGTTATTGAAATAAGAGAGGATAAGAATTGGCTGAGCTGGAGAACTGGAAGGAGAGTTTCAAACTAATTGGGAGAATGTGATTTATGAATGTTAACTGGAGGAGGGAAGTATGCTTTGAGGCTATATGCTCAGGGGAGGGGAATCCAGTTTTTGGCTTTGGCTATGTAAGTGTCGATGCTATGCTTGTCAAATAAAGATTCTTTAAGGTAAACAATGCCTCGAAGTTCTTTGAAGAGTTTCATCTGTCGGAAGCAGGACAGGTGAGTTGTAAACCGTTTTAATTTTGTGAGTAATTTTATACGTCACCAAGCATGCAGAAATGGAACAACATTAAAATGCCAGTCAACAAACATCTCCCCCCCCCCATGGGAAAAAAATCTACCTGATTAACTGAACAAACAAAAAGAATTCTAATATAGACATTTAAAATCACCTGGGTGACAGTTCATGCTCAGGAAGAGGCTTAGCAATAAATACATAATGTGCCACACAGAGGCATGACTCGTCACTGTCGACCGCTGTTTTTAAAATTTGGTTAAATGTTCCATGCAATCATTCACAGGAATCGGGCGGGCCATACAAACATGCTCCAGCACAAACGTAGGAAGAGAAGAAGAAGAAGAAGACAGGACAGATTATACGGAGAAATGTGAAAAGATTAACAAACAAACAAACAAAAAAGGAGATATGGGAACTTACATATTCATCCTTACAGAGGCTCACACAGCCATGTTTCTTTAGAGGTAAATAGGCACACATTCCAAAAAAAAGAGAGAAAGAGAGAGAGAGAGATTAAGAGAGAGAGAAAAAAAGCTAAAGAGAAAAACCACAGAAATGAAACATAACGTTTAAATAAATGTTTTTTTTTTAAAAAAATGAAAAAAAAATGATTAAAACACACTGGTAAGATGCCTGCACAGAGACTTGGATTTCTTAAATGTTTACGCTCTCTCTTGAGCTGGTGGTTTTCTTGCGGACGTTTCCTTCCCCAACTCCCTTCTGGCACGGATGGGGTTACCTAGTTGGGTAATGAAACGTCCGCAAGAAAACGCTCGTTCTTCTCCTTCTCTTCCTCCTCCTCCGCCCCGCACACCCCACTTCCTTCCAGCATTGATGGCGTTACCTAGCTGGGTCCTGAAATGTCTGCAAGAAAGGCGTCCAAGTTTCAGAGAGCACCAAGGACATCACAAGCCTTCTCCTGCTCCTCCTTCCCACTTCTTGCACAGACGACGTTACCTAGCTGGGTCATGAAAGGTCTGCAAGAAAGCTTCCTAGCTCAGAGCGTACCAAGTAAATCCTCCATTTACGACAGTTCATTTAGCGACCGCTTGAAGTTACGCCGGCACTGGACAAAAGGGACTCAGGCCCGTTTTGCACATCTTCTGAGCGTGGCAACCTCTCCGTGGTCACGTGATCAAAATTGGGGCATTTGGCCACTCGTTCGTATTTACGACGGCGGCCGTGTCCCGGGGTCCCCCTTTTGCGACCTTCTGACAAGCAAAGTCACTGGGGGAAGCCGGCCTCACTTTGCAACCGTGCTACTGACTTAACAACCACAGTGATTCACTCGACAACCGCAGCAAGAAAGGTTGTAAAGTGGGGCAAAATTCACTTAACAAATGTCTCTCTTAGCCACTCTGCAAACCTCCTCCCTTCTAGCACTGATGATGTTACCTAGTTGGGTCATGAAACGTCTGCACGAAAACAACCAAGCTCAGAGAGCACCAAGGACCCCACAGTCCTTCTCCTCCTTTCTTTCTTTCTTTCTTTCTTTCTTTCTTTCTTTCTTTCTTTCTTTCTTTCTTTCTCTTTCCTTCCTTCCTTCCTTCCTTCCTTCCTTCCTTTTTCTTTCTTTTCCTTTCTTTCTTTCTTTCTTTTCCTTTCTTTCTTTTTCTTTCTTTCTCTTCTCCTCCTCCTCTCCACAAGCCCCCCTCCCTTCTAGCACTGATGATGTTGCCTAGTTGGGTCATGCAACGTCTGCAAGGAAACCACCCAGCTCAGAGAGCACCCAGGACCCCACAGTCCTTCTCCTCCTCCTCCGCCTCCTCCTCCCCCTCCCCCCCACTCCGCAAACCTCATCCCTTCCAGCACTGATGATGTTACCTAGCTGGGCAATGAAATGTCTGCAACAAAGCAATCTGATTCAGAGACCACCAAGGATCCCACAGTCCTCCCCCTCCTCTCCACCAACCCCTCTCTCTTCTAGCACTGATGATGTTACCTAGCTGGGTCATGAAACATCTGCAAGAAAACAACCAAGCTCAGAGAGAACAAAGGACCCCACAGTCCTCCTCCTCTTCCTCCCTTCTAGCACTGATGATGTAACCTAGTTTGGTAATGAAATGTCTGCAAGAAAACAAGCAAGCTGGGAGAGCATGAAGGACCCCACAGTCCTTTCCCTTTCTCTCCTCCTCCTCCTCCCCACTCCGCAAACCTCATCCCTTCCAGCATTGATGATGTTACCTAGTTGGGCAATGAAACGTTTGCAAGAAAACCACCAAACTCAGAGAGCACCAAGGACCCCACAGTCCTTCTCCTCCTCCTCCTCCACCACCACCACCACTCCTCCTCCTCCTCACTTCGCAAACCTCATCCCTTCTAGCACTGATGATGTTACCTAGTTGGGTCATGAAACGTCTGCAAGGAAACCACTCAGAGAGCACCAAGGACCCCACAGTCGTCGTCGTCGTCCTCCTTCTCCTCCTCCCTTCTCAAACATCATCCCTTCTAGCACTGATGATGTTACCTAGCTGGGCAATGAAACGTCTGCAAGAAAACCACCCGATTCAGAGACCACCAAGGACCCCTCATTTCAACCCTGAGCTGCAAAGATTCTCGTTTATTGTTACAAATTCATCCGTAATTCTACACTCAGTGCACACATATACATTTGATGAGTTTTGTTCCCTACTGGGGAAAAAAGATTATTGAAAAGCCAGTTGGATGAAGCTATTCTTTAATGATAAAGGGAAGCGTGGATGAAAAACAAATGCTTTCCACTATGCTTAAAGGCAACAGGGGAAGGGCACGCCGAGGAGAAGACAGAGATTCTAGAGAATTCTTTGGCTTTTAAAAAGCCAATATTCTGGCACAGGCCGTTCAATGATAAAGGGGGAAGGCTGTTACACAAATCAACAACCAAAAAAAGCTGTGCCACCCCACATACCAGGAGCCACCAACGGGAAAGAATGAAGGAATTCGCTATTTGAGCTTCAATCAGGGATTGGCAGCCGACGGCGAAAACGTGTGCGTCGCTATTGAATTGAAGGCAAGAGAGGATGACAGCTCAAAGTGATGGATTTAGAGTCAAGTGCTCTTTACGGAAAAATCTACCCTTAGAAAAACAAAAAACAAAACAAAACAAAAAAGCGCCCGGGAAATCATTGCACATATTTATATGGCTTTCTTTCAGCTGTGAAAACAAAACAAGCTGACTCAAAGCCAATCTTTGAAAAAGAGAAATGGGGATTCTGTTCGGGCAAACACAGCAAATGTGATGGCCGTGGACTTTTCAAGATGGTTCAACATCCTCAAACTGGGTACCGAGGACACACGCACACCCTTGGAGCTCAGACAAGCTCAGAAGATCCACTCAGAGTGGGTTTTTTTTGCTTTAATTAATTAGCTAACCAGTGCCAATGGGGTTCAGACAGTCATGAAGCTGGAAGGCACCTTGGAGGTCTTCTAGTCCAACCCCCTGGAGTCCTTATATCATCCTGGACAAATGGTTGTCCAATCTTCTTTTGAAAGCCTCCAGTGATAAGAGCATCCACAACTTCCAGGAGGCAAGTTGTTCCACTGATTAATTGTTCCCACTCTCAGGAAATTCCTCATTTCCAGGTTGAACCTTCCTCTGATGACCTTTGACCCTTGCTTCTTGTTCTGCCTTCAGGGGCCATGGGGAATAAATGGAGACCCTCATCCCTGTGACAGTCCTTCAACCATTGGAAAGGCACCTATCAAGTGTCCCCTAAGCCTTCTCTTCATTAGGCTCAATATACCTAGTTCAGGGGTCTTCAAACTTGGCACTTTTATGACTTGCGGACTTCAACTCCCAGAATTCCTCAGCCAGCATGGGGGAACTATGGCTCTTTTATGACTTATGGACTTCAACTCCCAGAATTCCTCAGCCAGGTATGCCTGGCTGTAGAATTCTGGGAGTTGAAATCCACAAGTCATAAAAGGGCCAAGTTTGAAGACCCCTGACCTAGTTCCTTTAGCTCAGTGGTTCTCAACCTTTTTAATGCCGCGACCCCCAACCGGTCGTAAGTCGAGGACTACTCAACCGGTCGTAAGTCAAGGACTACTCAACAGGTGCAGCACCGTTTGCAGAATGGGGCTTTTGGCGGGCTCAGCAGGGCAGAGACAGCCTGGACAATTCCTATTGGCTTTGGAAAGCCAATAGAATTAGACTCTATTCAAGAGAGTCTATTCTATTGGCTTTCAAAAGCCAATAGAATAAAAGGGAGTAGCACAGCTAAGGAAAAGGGGGGGAAAATGGCGGACTGCGTTGTTTGGCGACCCCGTGAAATGGTCATTCGACCCCAAATGGGGTCCCGACCCACAGGTTGAGAACCGCTGCTTTAGCTGCTTGTAGTATGTTTGATCTTCCAGAGTCCTGATCCTCTTTGTTGCTGTTCGTTGCACTCTTTAATATTAATCAGAATAGAGCTGGAAGGGACCTTGGAGGCCTTCTAGTCCAACCCCCTGCTCAAGCAGGAGATCCTATGCCATTCCAGACAGGTGGCTGTTCAGTCCTTTCTTTAAAAAAAAAAACTATTGATGAAGCCCCTACAACGTCTGGTGGCAAGCTGTTCCACTGGCTAATTGTCCTCACTGTTAGGAACGTTCTCCTTAATTCCAGGTTGCTTTCTAGAGCAGGGGTCCCCAGTCTGTGGGCCACAGCCCAATATTGGGCCGTGGCCTCCTGGCCAGCGGGCTGTGGAACAGGCTGGCCAGTGCGTGCCCATGTGTGAGCGTGCTCATCCTCAGTCGCACTAGCGCCGCCGCTGCTACGCAAACGGGGTGCCGTGCGATGAAAAGAGGGCGGGGCTAGCGAAGGTCACAGGGGCACTAGCCCCACCCCGTTTGCGTCGCACGTGCTTACGGCCCCCGTTTGCGTGCGCGCACATCCACACACCTAAAACGCTTCCCCCTCCCTTTCCTTCACGGTCCGCAAACCGAGGAAGGTCGGAGACCTCTGTTCTAGGGTCTCAACATCTGTTTGGAAGAAAGGGTTCTACCTAAGAACATCTGCCCCAGTGGAAGACCAGCCAGGAGAAGCCAGCTCTGAGCCTACAGCAGTGGTTCTTAACCTGGGCGATATTGCCCCCCAGGGGGCGATTTCATTTTTCAGGGGGGGCGATGGAATGAAAAGGGGCGACGCGGGGGCGAAGGAATGAAAAGGGGGCGATATGGGGGCGATGGAGCGAGAAGTTTTGGGGACACTTTTGAGACTTTTTCGTACAGTGAATGGCTGTATATCTGTCATACAAAAACATCAGTTCGCTCGCTCTTAGTAGGATCGAATTGTGTTTTCAAATGTTCCTCCAGCTAGCTTCGGTACAGAACGCCGTACGTATGTGAAGACGCATCGCTTATCTTCATGCGCGTTGCGCAGCAGCCTCTACCCATACAGTGGCACGCCATTTATTTATTTATGAGACTTATATACCGCTTTAAGTGTAAGCACTCTCTAAGCGGTGTGCACCAGTAAGCAATGTGTATATATATAT